GAATGCCCCCTCTGCCTTCCGCTCGGGGCCAGTTCAGACCCAGCCGTGCCCTTAGGGAGCCCGAGGCCTCCGATTCGCATTTCCTGCTGCAGGAGACCCTTCCTTCCTTCACCTCAAAAGCACTCCTGGTGTCTTCCTGGGCACAGCACACACGCAAGTAACACTATTACAGAACCCTTGCTGCCATTTCATCCTTTTATTGCAACATAACAATTTCCATCTTTAACACGGACTGACGTAAAACAAAATAACACCACCCATTATTTCCACGTGGCCCAATCCAGGTGGGGGCAGCTGTGTTCGTCTAAAGCAGTAGAACAAATCTTGAGTCCAGCATCACCTTTAAGACCAACAAAGGTGTATTCAAGGTAGGAGCTTTTGTGTGCATGCACACTTCCTCAGATACATTGGAATGGAAGCTAACCGTTCAAATATCTAGGCAGATAGCATACAACGTAATGAAGATGTTTTGACATATGCAAAGACTAAACAGCAATTTCAAGCTACGTTCATACGGTCACCAGGTATGTGGAGAAGTGCTCAGACACAGGAGAGCTCACGCCTTGAATAACCCTTTGTTGGTCTTAAAGGTGCTACTGTCACAAAATTTGTTCTACAGTCGCCATTTGTTTGGATTTAATTAGGGGGGGAAACAATGAGGCAATACATATGTCAAAATGGGAGATAGATATGTAAAAGTATGTTTCCTCTCAAGCACGGAGTTAATTAAGGGTGCAGAGCCGTGTCCGAGAAATGCACTCCAATATTCACTGATTCTTATTTGCTAATAATCATGCTAACCCACCCCCCAGCTCATTCCCAAATTCAAATAAAGACTTGGAGAACAATAAGACTTTAGCAGCTGGAGTAACACCTTGTAGTTTAACCTTATTTCTTGCAACTTTCAATCTGAATGTGTCTTTTGTGACCTGTTTAGATTTACTTTCACACTCTTTTTTGTGTCAACACCCGTTTTGACACGTTATCTCAAACACTACTAAAATACGTTTTCTCAAACACTCAAAAATACGTTTTCTCAAACGCTCAAAAATACGTTTTCTCAAACACTAAAATATATAGGCCCTAAAAGCCTTCTTTATAGGCCCTAAAATCCTTCTTTATAATAATAGAAATGGTCATAAAGGGCTCATTGAACTAAAAAAAGTGGGTTTTTTAGTTTTGTCTGAAAAATTGAATTTCTAAGTAAGACCTTCTCCATGGCTGGCTTGATGTGCCAGATCCACTTATGGAGATGTCTAAGGGGTTTCCCCTCACAATGGGAAATCCAAAAATATAATCAATTTTTGAAAAAAAGGTTGTGTTGATCAGAAAAAAGTACAGACTTTCCCTTGTGGATTAGAAAATTATTTGCTTGTACTTTTACATATACTTTACCAGCTGTTTCTTAATTTCTTTAGTTGTTTAATCAATCTTGCAACATTCCAGTTGAAATAATTCCTGGCTCACTTCTAGTGTAAGCATATCTCCTTTTAAAACATCGTTGAACTTTTCCTTAGTGAACCTTGTCATTCTTTTATTTAAAAAAGAATTGTCTGATATCAACACCGCTACTGTGCCTTGTCATGAATGTTTCCTAACAACCAGACTTTTCTATGAAACTTGCTATAAAATGGAGCTTAAGTAACTTGACCCCCCCTCCAGATGTGATGGGAAGGGAACGACAGGAAGGAATCCGGGACCAACCTAATTAAGCAGAACGGATGAATTTGGGGGACAAATGTAGGTCACAAATTGCCCCCTTAATGTCACAACCAATGCTCCCTCTAAGCTGTGGAGTCTTGTGAGCAAAAATCCTACTTTGTGAGCTACGGGTATTAAAGCTGTGAGCGAGCGATTTGGCTACTGCGTAAATTAGTTAGCTCTGGAGCCATCCTTCCTGAGCTAAGACAAAAACGTGTGAGCTGGAGGCTAAAAAACTGTGAGCTAGTTCACACTAACTCAGCTTAGAGGGAACACTGGTCACAACCGGACTCAATGATCAATCATCCTGATTTTAAAGTGGCTAGACAATTCAGTCATTTCCGGGTGTAGGCAAGGAACGGTTTGACCAAATTAATGCATCTCAGAGATACCCAATTGATGATACATTTTTCTGTAGTAAATATGTACTTCACATGAGGCCCCTTGATACCATAGACACAACTGAAGAATTCTATGCAGATGTTGAGCAGGAAATTCAATAAACACAGGAATCTCACAAAGTTTTTTGTGTGGGGGACTCTCTTAAATCATTAACACAAAAGGGTTTATTGAAGAAACTCTCTTACAGAACAATCCTTAATGCATTTCTCTTTTGAAAGAAAACGGGGGGGGGGATTTGCCCCTCAAAATATCTAGACAGGAATGGCGTCAGCAGCCCCTTCTCTCTCTCTCTCTGAATGTTGGGGGTTTAAAGGAAATGGGATCTGGCTATGATAGAGATGGTTTTACGCTCCTGCCATTTCTGGCAGAGAAGAGTTGAACCCAGGAATGATCCAGATTCCCCCCAACCCCCCATGACCTAACACCACCAACCGCAATTGGAGGAAAAATCAAAGGAAGCCCCCCCCCCCGGCCTACAATGGGCCTTCATAGAACCACAAAGTGGGAAGGGTCCTCCGGGGTCATCTAGTCCAACCCCCTGCACAATGTAGGAAATTCACAAATACCCCCCCCCCCACAACCCACACGACCCCTGCTCCATGCCCAGAAGAGGGCAAAGAAAAACCCTCCAGGATAGACTGACCCGGAGAAAAATTGCTGCCTGACCCCCAGAGTGGCAACCGGCATTCCCCTGGGCGTGTGTCAGAAAGGGCCACGAGAACTAAGCACCGATGAGGCAGCCCTTCCTGCCCTCCCTTCTCGTGATCTGCCCAAGTTCACAGAGTCCGCGTGGCTGTCAGGTGGGGCCACCTGGCCTCTGTTTGGAAACCTCCCAAGGAGAAGAGCCCACCCCACCTCCCCAGAAAGCCTGTCCCACTGAGGAACTGCCCTGTCAGGAAGTCCTTCCGCATGTTTAGCCGAAAACTCTTTCTGATTTCACTTCTCAACCCCTTGGTTCTGGTCTGACCTTTGGGGGCAACAGAAAACAACTCCGCACCATCCTCTATTATGACAGCCCTTCACGTCCTTGAAGATGATGGTCATCATATCCCCTCTCAGTCGTCTCCTCTCCAGGCTAAGCACACACCCGGCTCCTTCAGCCTTTCACCACGGGACCTGGGTCTCCAGAGACCCCTCCCCATCCCCGTTGCCCTCCTCTGGCCATGTTGGATGGGAGAGACGCAAAGAGCAGCCCTCCCCACATGCCGAGAGCTTTGCTTGGGGGGGGGGCGGATGGAAGGGAAGCCGCTGTGGGCTGTTTTTCCTACGGGGGGCCAACTGAACCCCACCCTCCCCACAGTCCTCCTGACCCAAACCTCAGCCTCACTTCCTGCCCCTCCCCTCCCTCCCCTGCGCTGAACACACCTGCACGGGGGGGGGGGGGTTTATCGAAGGGGCGGGAGGGTGGTGGCCAAGTGGTGAGGCCAGGCCAGGCCAGGCACAGCCCCAAAGTGTCCCACAAGGCCTTGCCCATTCTCCAGATCAGAGGCCGCTGCTCTTAAGCAGGACAACACCCGGCTGGCTCTCAGACAGGGAACAACTTGAGCAGGAGCTGGAGAACCAAAGCACACTGGGGGTGGGGGGGGGAGGCACGGGAGCAGCTGCCGGCAAGCGAACGAGCCAGCCAGCCAGCCCTCAAGGTCAAGACAATGGGAAGTGGAAAATACGCCTGCCCACACTGACCGCGAATGACTCCCCTCCCCTGGTACGCCTGGCATCTTTCCTGCATCACCCTGGGCAGCGTGGAAGAATGACCGGGCATGGAAAATTCCTCCAGAGCACAGCAGCAGCAGCACACAGAGTCCTCGCCAGCCCCCCATCCTGGGACACACACAGGGCAGGTGCTGCTGGGAAGGAGGCGGCCAATGCCCCCCCCTCAAGGGCTGTCTGAAAGAAGCAGAAAAGGAAACACAGTCCAGGCGACAACCCCCTCCTCAGCCGACTGGGACACGGAGGGGGGAGGGCGTGTGCCTCAGGTTGGCCAGACAGCAGCCCACCGGGGTAAAATATAGCAGCAAGACAAAGAACGGGCCAATCCCCAAACCACTTAAGCCCAACTATCATCATCATCTCATATATTCCAATAGCCAACGGCAAGACAGATCTTTGCAAACCCCCCCCCCCCATGAAATCTAAAAATATGTATTGGGGAGTTAAAACTAAAATGATAAAAGGAGCACCTGTAGCTTTAATAAACCGAGGGCTTCAGTAGCGGTTGCTAGGCAACCACAATGGCTTGGCTGGCATTTCATCCTTGGTTTCTGTGAGTAAAAGCTGGGGGAGGGGGGCAGGGCCTTTTCCAGCGCTGCTTTGGCCTCCGAGGGAGGACGGGCCTGGCAGCAACCACCCTGCAACTTGATACCACCTGAATTCCTTGACTCCCCTGGGCCTGGCTGCTTGCTACTGTTCAACTACAGCCACTCCACGGAAGCCCGTTTCAGACTGGGGGGCCACAAATC